CTCTACTGTATATAGACATGGAGAGTGATCCAAATATTTTTCATGCTGAGTGGAACTCCCAAAAGCTTCAAGAAGAAATGCAAGACAAAGTGTGATCTGAAGTTTCCCCTTCTAGAGATAACGCTGTGAACAAGACTGCAGGTACCTAACATTCAGCTTTCCTACTCCATAGGCTAATATTTCAGGTACTAGGATACAAAAAGCAGTCCTCATTACCTCGCTGTGATTTTTAAGCCGCCACATCTACTACTTCCCATAGATGAAGGCTGAGTAGCCTTCATCTGCTCAGTCATGGGTACTGTATCCTTCCCATCTGGAAGCTGGGAGTTGCTTGTTTCAAGTGTCTGTAACTCACGTGGTGTCAGGCACCTACTTCTTGAAGTAAATGCTATTTTGAGCATACCAGAAGGCAGAATCACAGCCAGTCAGGGAACATTTAGATTCAACCCAGAAGTACCCAGGAGGCTTAAGCAAACACAGCATAAGAGTTACTAAACATGACTTTTAATTTCAGCTTTGAACTTCACTGTTTGAAGCTTCTCCAAACCACTTGGAGCTCATGTATTAAAAACTCTGCATTTTTTCCAAGAAAGTTTACCAATCTGTAATTATTGATGACAATCTGAAACACTGATAGGAATGCACGTGAGTTGACTTTTGTGCACAGAAACCAATATTTCAGGATAATATGGTCTGTACATACTAAATTACAAGGCGTGGTTGCCAAACTATGATTTTTACTAGCTACCCTCCTCCTCTGACAATGTTAAATTGCAGTGAAAATACCCAAACCAACAAAACAAACAGAACACATTGGCAGCTATGTCATTTAACAGTCAGTTAACAACATGAGACTGTATTCCGGATGGAGTAGTATTACTTTCAGTTTATACTTGCAAGGAAATAAAAAATATAGACCTACTTTCTCCATGAATTTTCATTTATTTTATTTTTTAAAAAATTTAACACTGTTCACCAATATAAACTTAGCAGGTAGTATCTTAAATTAACAAGGAGAAACTGAAAACTTTGAATAGAATTTATCCTAGCAAGTTCCTGGGAATCTTGGCAATTCCCAAGAAGAAACCTATGGGAAACTTAAGCAACACAAGCTCTTTAGAGAGCTAAAACAAATTCAAATACTCTAAAATAATTGCTTGAGTGGGATTTTCTGTTCTATTAATATTTTCTATGCTAGATAGGTACAGAGTTAATCTTGTACACTTGAGCAGTTCAAGAAGACTTACAAGCATCAGTATCCTTCTATTTTTCTGCCTATAATCCCACAGTCCCTCAATGGAAAGCAGCAATTTTCAGGAGATGGAGCAATGCCACACAGCTCTATAAGTAATTTTCCCATAATTGTGTACATTGAGGTAGAAGAAATAACAAGGAAATTGGCATAGTCTCTATCTTAAAATATTCCCCAGTAGATAAGAGACACTCACATCCCTTTTGGCATTAACTGCCTAGAATAATGCATCTAACAGAGGAGGATAGAGCCATAAATGTTGGGGACTGCATGTGCAGCCCTCTCCTCACATCACGAGTAGGGAATAGGTGCTGCTGAAGGCAGTACTGAGACACACCTCTCCTTTCCTCTTCCCAGGCTGTCTAGAAATAGGCCTGAGACATCCTCTAGAGTCACACTAGGGCCACCATCTGCAAATTACAGTTCAGTGTTTACATTTAAGATGAAGGAGAAATTCACAGTAATTGATCTGACCTCATTGGCGTGTAAGATATTAGAATAAGCTTAGAATAAAAAAATAGAAATTGATAAAACAGGACAAAGCCCCCTGGGGCTCAGAAAAAAAAGGTGTCCCATTTTTCATTCAGCTCTTCACAGCTAGTAGTAACACCAGACTAACTCATTTACTAGAGCTTTCTACTTGAAAGACTGGTGCTTGTGCTTCTACCTACTAAATTGTATTCCAAAATGGTTCACTCTCTTCTAGCATACTATTAGTTTACAAGAAAGATGATGTTTAGAAAGTTTAGCCATCTCCCCATTTTCTCCCATCTTTTCAAGTCATGAAACCTACTGTTTCTACCAGGCACTGTGCGACAACCTTCTAAGGGAAAGAAAAGAAAAAAACAAATCAAACCAAATACAGTTCTATCCTGCTCACCATAAAGTTTGGGCCTCTACATTTCCCAAATACATCTTCAAATACCTTGTTTTCTTTAGAAAGAAGCAAGCTACAAGGTCCCACCTAACTCCAACACAAAACACACCATAGGATTTATCTTTCCATCAAGACTTTTTTTGTTAGTTGAACTCTGCAAGTGTGCCAGATCCCTCATTTACCAGATCCTCCTCCAGATGCAGCCATAAATGCCCATTAAGCTCACAGGTTAACTATAAAACTTTTCTCTGCCAGTGGAAGATAATGCAGGCTTGGGTGTTCATTTGGCCACATATTCCCTTATGAAGCAAAGACAATCCTTAAAAAATCTATTTCCTTAAAAAGAAAGGTTTTTTTGCTGAGTAAAGGGAACAGTACTACATGTGAACTGGCAGAATTTTTACATGAACTTTAAACACCGTATGCTGAGAAATTCCCAGCTCTGCTGAGAAAGATATGGATTATTCTGAGAAACACGGAACCAGTTAAATGGATAACGGTAAGTTATTTAGAGGGAATGTACTATTAATATTGGTCTCATTAATAATTCCTCATGATCTTGATACCAAAAACAGCAATGTGCTTATGGAACTTCTTAATATGAGAACATTACATAGTAAAAGATCAGTCATCCTGATTACCAGTGTAACTACTTTGAACTAAAATGCTTAGTACATGTTTCTGTTTTCTCTTTGGAATCTGCTAGTTGAAGACAACAAAAGAAAGATCCAAGAGACTTAGAGAAGCACAGTAGTAATTTTGCTGTGAAATAGACAAATGCACTCTCCATCAAAGGTGTTTAGCTCAGTAACATAGTCATTAATGTGACTGAACAAGTGTTGCATAGAATTTCAGTAAACTATGATGAAGTAATATCACATCAAACTTAGAGATCTAGACAAGAGCAACAAGAATAAAGAAGGAAATTAATATTTTATTATATGAAAGAAAGGTTTGATTTATTTCAGGTATTGCACGGAAGAGTTAAGAGATGACATTACTGCATTCTAAAACTACATCAAAGAATAAACATGGTGGAAGACAAAGAATGTTGTCAGTTACAGATGACATTGAAGAGAGAACAACTGTGCCTAAAATGACTCTGTGAATATATGTAGACTGAAAATCAGGTTTCTAATAGTCAGAAAAAAGATCCATTTGGAACATCCTTCTAGCAGTTCAACGGGATTCTATATAAAGTTTATTAGTTTACAAGTGAAATTACATGCTACTGCCTGCAAAAGCATATAAATAAGCGGCCCTTTTCAGTCTTATTCCTCCAATTATTAGAAAAATAGGAAAGATGTTGACGAGCAGAGTTTTGCAATCACTGCGAATTAAAAGAGACTTCAATGAGTCTATTAGTATCAATACTGACAGCTAATTTTGATAGTGTCCGAAGGAAGTCTCAGCCTTTTAAAAACTGAGAATTATTTTTTCACTTCAACAAATTCTGCAGGCTGTATTAGTAGAAATGGCAGTGTCTCTTCCGCATTTTTGACATCCACAAAAATCCATGGTGAATACAAAGAGGTCAGTTTTGATGAACAGTTAAGAAGTGTGAAAAACACAAATTATATCAAGGAATTACAGCATGTAGGAGCTTTGAGCCTTCCCACACTTTCATATTCAACTGTGTAAACACGGAAACAATTATTTGGTAGGGGCGTGTGCATGGCTGTCTTCTTGAAAGCCATTTTTGGCAAGCGGTAGACTGTCCTGAAGTGCATTTACTTTCATAGCTATGCCTTGATGGTTGTTTCCAATTGAGTTGTTGCCGACTTGAAGGTGTGTTTACAGAGAGCTCTCCTTAAATCCAGTATGTACATTTGTATACATACTTACATACTGACACGGTATGTCTGGATAAACCACTCCAGATAAACACACAAGAATCAACCGAAGTGCTTCTGTTTACTCAGATAAGCCCACTCACATACTTGCAAAAACCCAACTTTGTTGCAGTAACCAGGCTTGCAGCTTTCTGATGCTCGTCTTTAGGATGGATTTGGCTCAGCTGTATGCCCTTCATAGCAACCAAGTGCCATGGCAGAAGACGGATGTCCCCACCTTTGTCTCTGCCCGTCCCTTGGCGCGCTGCCCCGCCGCAGGCCGAACACGCACACGGGGCAGGCTGGCCGGGCCGTGCTGGGTGCCAGCAGGATCCCCTGCCACAGCAGGCCCGCTCGGGCTGCCTGCCTCCGGCCCCGGCGGCCTCCGGCCCCGGCTCCTCCAGCGGAGGCAGGAGCCCCCGGGCTGTTTCCTTTGCAATGCCCCTGTGCCTCCGCGCCCCGGTGGTGGATCCTCCTTCCCGACTTTGCTCTGGGCGTCCCAAAGCCCCTGGTGCAGGAGGAGGCGAGCGCCGGACCCGCAGAGCGGGGCAGACCCTCCGTCTCGCTCGGGGCCGTAGCGGCCCGAGGCGGCGCCGCCGCTGGAGGGCAGAGCGCGGAGGGGCGGCGAGCGAGGGGCGGGCACTGCCGGGCCGCGTCCCCGGCGTGTGAGCATGCCGCGCCGGGAGGAGGAGGAGGAATTCCTCGGCCGGGCCGGGGGAGGTTCGCACTGGAGTTAGCGCCGGGCAGGGAGGAAGAGGGAGCGCTGCCGGAAGCGGCGGAGCGGCGGCGGCGCTGGGAGCCCGCGGTGTCCCGCGGGCAGCGATGTAGCTGGGTGACGGTGACAGCGGCCGGAGCGCGCCGCCTCCGCTGCCAGCGGGCCGGTGCGCCGGGTCGGAAGCCTCTCCGGGGAGGCGGCAGAGCGCCCAATCTCGCCGCTCCCCCGCTTTCCCCTCTGCCCTCGGTGCCGGCTCCCGGCGCGGCCCTCCCTCCGTTCCTCCCTCCCTCCCAACGCCGCCGGCCGGGGGGCTGCGGCCGCCACCGCTGCCATGGGGCTGCCCACGCTGGAGTTCAGTGACTCCTACTTGGACAGCCCGGATTTCAGGGAGCGCCTCAAGTGTCACGAGATCGAGCTGGAGAGGACGAACAAGTTCATCAAGGAGCTGATTAAGGACGGAAGCCTCCTCATCGGGGCCCTGCGAAGTGAGTCGGGCGGCGGGACCGGCGGTGGCTGGCAGGAGAAGGGGCTTCTTTTGTTTGAATGGGCGCCGGGCGCGGGCTCCCCTGCCGGCGGCCGCCGAAAGGCGCCTCCTCAACTTTCTCTGCCCCGCTCCCTCCCTTCCTCGCTCCCCGCCGCCGTGCCTCGCCTCGCCTGCGGCGGGGCCGGGCGGGTGTCCCGGGGGAGCGGGGGCGGCGGGCCCTGCCCCGGCCCGGGGGCCCGGCCGCGCCCTCCCCGCCGGGAGCGCGGGCAGCGCGGGGGCGCCGCCGCCGGGGCGCGGACCGGCCAGGTGGATGGGGCAGAGCCCGCGGTCCGGGCTGCGGCGGAAAGTCGCCCTGTAGATCGCTGTACGGTACGGACCAGGCGTGGAGTGTTGCGGCGGGGTCTCTTTTTGGCACGCTGGCTTCTAGTTGCGTGTCTTAAGATAACGAAGATGTTCGTAATAAGTGGCAAAGCAAGATAATGAAGGGAATTTATAGGGAGAATTTATACCCCCCTCCCATACTCTCGAGCCTTCATGTGGTAGATTAACTTTTGAAAGGCTCTGAAAGTAGAGATAAACACGAACAGTGTAGTGCTTTTAAAGTTCTGTGAGTTGAGCAGTGACAGCTTTCTGGGGCGTGAAAACGGCAGTCACGCTCTGAAGATCAAAAAGTGAAAGCTGGGAATTGCCCAGGAGCGTCAGTAGACTCGGTTTGTCCTCCCGTCCTGTAAACCTTGCCACCTACTTGTCTGCAAGTCACTTTGGATCTCTCACCTGTTGCCCAAAGTTTTCCTTTACGGAGAGCAGAGATGTAACTTACAGCATCTCTTTTTGCAACGTGAGACAGTCAAAGGAAAGAATTGCTTTAATCCCTAAAAATAACTGCCACATTGACATGGTATGCTGTTTTTTTTTAGGATTAAGGGTAGCAGTACTGCATGTTATATGGACAGGGAACAGGTAGTTCTGAGCTCTGTAGTTCTTAAGAACTTTCTAACCCGGAGTCTAAACCCGAAGTTTGTGTCCTTACCTAGGAGGTTAAAATTGTGAGGATTTTGTTTGCCCAGCAGTAGTATTGAACTGTACTTGTTCATGCATCAACTGTCTATTTACAGCATTGCATTTACATAAAGCAGCTGTTGTCTTTTTGAAAGTTTATTTCATATAAATGTATGTCTGGACACACCTAAGTTTTAGTGAGTAGCTGCGTAGCTAGCATCTTATGTTAATTTATATTAAGTTTAATAAATTCCTGAACCCATGCCCACAGGATGTGAGATGACCAATTACACAGAAATAGTGCTTGTGTGTATGTATATATGTGTGTGTGTGTGTGTGTGTGTACTGGTCTATCTGTATCTCTGGAAACTCATTGGTACAGTTTTCTTTACAGGCAAAAAAGTTTATTTGTACTTTAAGCCTTTCTTGCTGCTAAAAACTTTCTCCATGTAACAGAAAGTCTGAGCTGCTTTTAAGTAGTAAAAACTTACTATAACAAACCTGGTCCTATAAAATAGTAATGACAGATTAGGATACCACATGAGTACTTTTTGACCTGGACCAGCACTGAGAACTGGCTGCTCTTGGTTCCAGATCAACTATGCACGAACACAACTTTCTTCTTAGGCTGTCTGAAGACAGGATGAGAGGTTGAGGCTGTTAAGCCTGGAGAAGAGAAGGCTCTGGGAAAACTTTCTTTCAGCTCTCCAATAACTAAAGAGAGGCATACAAGAGCTGGAGAGGGACTTTTTACAAGAATATGCAGTGAATTGCCAAGGGGTAGGGTAGTAGGTGGGTTTAGATAGGATATTAGGAAGAATTTCTGCACTGTGAGGGTGGCGAGGCTCTGTAACACGTTGCTCAGAGAAACTGTGGATGCCCCTGACATGGGAAAGTTCAAGGCCAGGTTGGGTGGGCCTTGAGCAACCTGGTGGTGGAGTAATCAGTCTAGTGGGAGGTGTCCCTGCCCATGGGAGGGAGTTTGGAACTTGATGATCTTTAAGGTCCCTTCCACCACAAGCCACTTTATGAGTGTCAAAGACAGATTGCAGTAGAATAAATGTATTTGAGAAGTAAATCGAACCCTGATTCTGAAGTGAGTAATCCCATTAGTTTTGTGGAGAACACTTAGGAGTCCATGCAGGATTTTGAACAATATTTCTATCTCAAGTAGTGACTTCTTAATTTGTAAGTTCTCATGATTTTTAAAACCTTTTAGTTCAAATGTTATTCTGTTTGACACAATGCTTATTGTATCCCATATACAGATCTAGAATGTTTTGTGTCTTTTAGCCTTAGAAAAATAAAATTTGTTTTGGTATAGTAAGAAATCTTTGTCCTTTTATTAATTTCAAATCCCTTTATTTCATGATTGTGTCATTCTTCTATAGAATTCTGCCTTAATTCCTGTGTTAGGGCTGCTGAGAAAATGTCTGGATTTTTCTCAACAATTTAGAAATCCTGAACTTAGGCTCTGAAGACTCATTTGTAGATGCTGCAAGAACAGTGTACCTGTTACAGCAAGTAGCACTATTGTATATTTCTAAAGCATAGAAATTTGACTTGTTTAAGCAAATTAGCTACTCCTACTCACCTTTAAAATCAGTGAGGTGGAAAATGCTTATGCAGGCCTTTATTTTTTTCAAATTTCTTAAAATGTGTTTGAAAATTAAACTGTGAAGTAGTTCAGTGATAACTCTGTTATTTGGTTTTTGAATATTTAATAACCTACAGGCCTGGAAACAAAACACGCCTTATTTACCAAGTTTTATCTCTAGGTAATCTAGGATTTTTACCTCCACATCATTTTGTAGGATCAGTTCTGATGAGGTAAAATAATCTGGACTGTGCTGTAGACCTTCAGTGGAAATGAGTTTCGGAAACTGTCATCCCTGACCATGCTTAAGAGAAGAGACAGTGAAGCTGTTAGAAAAGACAATAATATTTTAAAGGTTGCTAAATGTAAGGTTTTTTTATATGAAATGACAGCATGTCCATGGTTTTGAAGGTAAAATTAAACTTCTGTATCACAACTGTTAAAAATTTTAATATTTTCACAATCAAGTATTCAAGTTACTGTAGCTATGCAATGTTTATAAAGATCTGGCAGATTCCACATAAATTGAAGGTAGAATAAATATGCTCAGTGTAGTATGCAAATATTTTGCATTTCATTTGGAATGGTCCCAGAATGAGTCAGACTTTATTTTAATGTGGTTTTGCTACCTTAATTCAGGAGAGTACTGCTTTCCAAGGTGGCATGCAGAACTGTAGTGCTGTGTTCCATGAAGCAGCAGTTGACTATTGTGAATGCAATGGGAACTGATAAAGCCAAAATTGATATAAAATCCTCAGCAGCTTTTTCTTAGCATTTTTTTTCACTATTTCACTGTCTTTCTAAATAGGTAGGACTCTGTGAGTAGCCCAGAACAACACAGATTATATGTTTCAGTTTAGCTAGATGTTAGCATCCCATCTGCATGGCCATTGTGCCTACTTCAACCTTGTCCTACAATTAGTATTTATACAGATGACTACATTTCCTTTTCAAAGCAGCTAAGGTACTAAATGCATTACTGTCTCTTGAAAGATTTCGTTTATGCATGTAAGAGACTTACCTATTATATTAAAAATTTATCCTTTGACAGAGATTTAGCCCAGTGTATAGGCACACTTAAATTGAAGCATATACTTTCTTAGTGCACCCAGATGAGGGTTTTTGTTGTAAACTTAGAAATTAAGGGGATAAAAAAACCTTTTAGAAAAAGTGGCTTCCTCTTGCAACTGACCTTGATTATTAGGTAACTGTTGATTTTATAATTTCTTCAGTTGCCTGATTTGACAGATCTTTCAGGTGCATGTTGAAGGTGTGTATGCCTAAATGCTTCACATTGTGAGGTCCAGATGTAGAATGACTCCTAAAGCAGAATTGATATTTTTCCTTCTTCATTCTCGGTTGTTTTCAATTAAAACATTAAGTCTGTTTTCCCCTGTACGTTTTGCCAGTATGTACTTTAAAATTTCTATGTAGTTGTCTTCTGAAAAAGCAACTTAGTCTAGGGTGTTGTCCTATAGATTATATAGGAAATTCCATTCTAGAATTACTTGTATGCTTTTGATTTCCATGCTACTAGGCCTACTGACTTGCCAAAGTTAATAAATATTGTATTTAACAATCCAGAAAATTGACATTCATCTTGTTCAGGTCATCTTATGGCTCACTGTGTGCATAAACCTTCTGTTCCTCCCTCTGATTTTTGAGGCCCTCTCCATCTTAAGTCCTATCAAATTAATGTATTCAAAGATGAGAACTACCTAAGTTTTGGGTTAAGTGGTTGAAAGTTCAGTATGTTTACAGCTGCTTTAAGTAATACTGTACTTTTTCAAGTGTCTTAGTATGATGCAAATAGTAATGCAGAGCTGTGGTGTCATATATACATGTAATGTAAATAAGATTTATCAGATATCTTTAGGATTTTGTAATTTAGTAGCAGTAATTTTATTTTACTACTTGACACAAGGAGAAACAGCAACACAAGATAGAAATACTGTCTTTTGCAAGGGGTGCAAGGGGGTGTTATTTATCAGGGTTTTATAGAAATTTCACACAAGAAAGCCCTGTCAAGTTGCGTGGCATATTTCAGGGTTTTCAGGGATGATTCACTTGAATACTAAACCTAATTATAAAAATACAGTGATGAACCTGTTTATACATAGGGAAATTTTGGGGATTAGCTCCCTGGAAAAAAAAAAAGGACAAAATTACAGCATGAGAATTTACAATCTTTTTATCTCTTCGGGGACTTTTTTTTCATGTAAAAAATGAAACCTTTGTATCTTTCCAGAAAGATGCATTTTCCCAGATATCTTTGCCTCACATATTTTCATAAGATTATGTCTGCAATGTCTTTTCCAGATTGTAAGTGAAGCAAAACTGAGTTCATTGAATACTAGCTGCTGAAGTTTGATAGCAGTCATTTTCCTTTATTTATGTAGCTGTAG